CTCCTTCCCTCCCTCCCTCCTTCTCTCCCTCCCTCCCTCCCTCCCTCCCTCTTCCCTCCCCCGTTAAAGTACCCCCATTTTCTCCATTTTACCCTTGATAATACCTGTCTCGTATGCCCCCCCCGTTGATCTCCTTCTTCCCCTTTATCCTCACAGTTCCTTATATAACTCTCCTTTTCCTCCTCACATTTAAATATCCCCATTTTACCCATTTCCCCCTTTCCTTCCTTCCTTCCTTCCTTCCATTTTCTTTCTTTCCTACACAGTCACTGGCACCTTTCTTAATTACTGGGATGTCCTGTGAGGGACTGAAGACTTTGTGTTCATTTAGAACTTTCAAGTCCACTCTTCTAGTAAAACACTTGTTAACTGCATGGCATCTAGTTATAAAGCCAACAACTTGGTCTCTGCTTTTGTGAAACTCATTGTGTAGAGGAGGAAATACATATGTACAAACAAGCTTAGGGCCTAATGTAGGTCTCTACATGGGACTGAATGACTGCTGTCAGTTTTTCAGGAAGCATTGAGTCAGGACCCAGGAAATAAAGCTGCTTGACAGCCAGCGGAAGGTGTATCTTAGGGATGCTAACCATGGAATTGAGTTGCAGAGACACTTGTGGTTGGCCACATAAGAAAAGAGAAGCTATTCAGAAGGCATGGGAACCAACAAGTGCAGTGCCAGGAGGAGGCCAAAGCTTCCGGTGCAGCTGGTGGGTGGTGCTGTGACCAAGGCACAAAAATGACCTTAAATGCCTTTTTCCTCCCACATAAGACATCATTTGTTTCTTAGCGATACAAAGTAAGTTTTTACTCTCATGAAAATTGAAGATCCTTTAAGCGATGCCTCTCAAATCCAAGCACCATTTTATACGTTTTTGAAAAAGACTGGTCATTAAGGAGCTTGAGACTGAAATTCCTTTTACACTCTAAACTGAGGAAGCAAAGTTTAAGTGATTTTATCTAGTTTCTACTTCATACTGATTTAAATTTCATTGTTCTGCCAAGTCATTTTATTTTTACTACAACTTAATATGCTAAACCAATGTGTATGTATAAAAATATATATGCGTATATGTATATTTGTATATGGGCAACTGGGCATCATTCTAGAAGGGGAAGATAATTCCTAAAATATTTAGTGGAACTCATTTAATGATGTTATCTTTTATTTAAAACAATAATATGATTATATCAACAGTGGCATCTAATTTAGCAAAATGAAATATGGCGTTGAGTACAATGTCATAATCGTTACTGAGGTATGGTATTACCTGTCTGATGGTCTCCTAGAGACCTCATCTTACACAAGCTTATTTTTATACAATTGCAGTGAGGCAGTGAGACCCGAGGGTGGCTGGCGATGTGCAGCTATCTATGTCCCTTCTCATGTCAGCTCGCCACATCTTCGCTCCCTGACAGGACATGGGAGCAGATGAGACAAGCTGTCACTCACCCTCACTGCCCTTTGAAGAAAGGCCATGGGGGGAGAAAGGTGCTGCAAATGGGCTGTGAAGTTTACATACACTGCCCACTGTTAAACAGATTACGTCTAATGAAGTGTCTAATGCTCAGGCCATATCAACCTAATCCTTGGTGGCAGTTCATCCCTCAACTGCCAAAAAACACCGCCCTCTGGCCCTCTCTTGCCACTCTGACCGCCAAGCACAGGGAGGTGCCCAGTCTTAATAAACCAAGACAGTGTGTGATCTGACATGCAAATGTAGGTCATTGCATATGTAAATGTGTGATTACAAACCTGCATGCCAAAACACATTAGTGAGACTTTGCTCTCAGCATGCGGTTGTCACACAGCCTTAGCAATTCACGCTAATGTTTGTCAAGTTATTGCAAAGAAAAGGTAGGATTCCCAGTCAGATTTAAAGTATATGGATTATAGGGCTGTGTCTCTGTGATGAAGCTGTATTTGCTGTTGATATTGACAAATCTTCATCAAGAGAAAGAATGATTTCTCTGTGTGGAAGAGGAATTTTATTTCTTGGACGTTTCAGACTCTGTGTGTGGGGGTGTACGTATGTATTAATAGGTCTTTAGTGTTCAGTTCATTAGAGTTGCACTAGTCAGAGGCCACTAAAATGTCATGCTTACTTGAAATTAACTCATAGTTAAAGAATATGTAGAGTATGTGAGGAGGGTGGTAAATGTCTTATTATGCACTGATAATTTAAAACAATCTTAAGTATATTAGGAAAAACATGACAATTAAAAACCTTTCCTTTTTAAATGAAGCCTTTTTAAAAATTAAAAATTTAGAATATCACTATCTGTTGAGTGTATCTGAATAGTAACCCCTCATGAGTTTCCTTATTAAATATGTGCCATATTTTCTCAGTTGACCATTATAAATTCAGTGATTACAAAAATAAATCTTATAAATGAACAGTGTGGCAGTTTACTGACTTTGATAAATTATTTTTGTTTTTTTTTCTTACAATAGACTCTTAAAGTTTCAAGCACATTTCTGTTCTCAATCTTTAACCAATAAACTTGAAATAAAAAACATATTGGATTATCTGGTCAAGTTGTGTAATGTTGGGCCTTTTTTGTTAGTCTGCTTTTTTTTTTGAGACAAAATCTCCCTCCAGCCCCAACTGGCCTGGATCTTGCTATGTAGACCAGGCTGGTCTCAATCTCATGGAGAGCTGCCTGCCTCTGCCTCCAGAACTAAAGGCATGCATTAGCATACCTGGCATAATGTTGGGTCTTACTGTAGGTGATTTTCTTGATAACTGTGGCAGTATACCATGAGCCATAGATTTGGGAATCAGCTAGGCATGGGCTAGGCTTTATAAGATCTACAGTTGGTAAGCATGAGAACTGAGTTAGTAACATAAGCTCCTCATATGCAGGACCTGTTACGGAGTAAGCAACAAAATGGAGCTTCTGTTGTGGCAGTAAATGTTGTTGCTATTGTTATTTTATTGTTATAACAACTATCTTATGGTCCTTTATGAAATGAATTTGTGAATGTTTTATGTTGTGGTTATTTTGTATATTTTAAAACAATGCTATTTAAAAGATTTTTTATTATATTTTTATTTTGTATGTATGTGGGTGTGCATGTGGTGTGTGCACATGGAAGTCAGAGGACAACTTATAGGAATAGGTTCTTTCCTTCCACCTGAGAGTTGCAGGAATCAAATTCAGGTTGTTAGGCTTGGTGGCAAGAGCCTTTTTACCTGTTGAGCCATCTCATTGGCCCAAGAATGGTATTTCTGAAAAAATTGCTTGCACTTTCCCCGATGAGTCATCTCACTAGCCCAAGAATGGTATTTCTGAATAAATCATTTGGACTTTCAGTAGAAGCAATGCATAATAACAAATTATGACCCCCCCCCCTTTGAGAAAGATTGATTATGAAATTCCATAGTAGAATTTTACAATTTTTGTTAGCATAATATAATTAACAAGACATTATGAGTGCTAGGCGTGAAGTTAATGCCCTGCATTAGATATATATATCACCAGAAGAGACTTGGTAAGTTGGACATGGCATCATTAGCCTTACCCAAAGTTCACTTGAGGGCCTGAGTTCAAGTTGAGTGTCATTTGTTTATGAACTGGTGCCATCTCTGGATGTGATAATAGGTCCTTAATATTCAGTTCATGAGAGGTACACTAATGGGGCTTCACAGCAATGCGCTGTTTACTTGAAGTTAGTTTGTAGTCAGAGCAAGTACACATGCCATAAGAAGGATTGTAAAAGACTTGGAAGAGTGGACTCACCAATAATTTAGGAATCTTATAAAGCACTAGATATGTTTAGCCAAAAGAAAAAAAAGGGCAAAAAACCAGGTATTTGATAGCTAAATAGGCTATTTTATTGTGTTTTATGTAGTGGAGATGCTGACATGAGAAGCATAAAAAATATTCCTTGGGCATTTGTTGTAACCACCACAAGCGACAGTGCCTGAAGATAATGGTGTTCAGTTAATGGTTAGCCTTGCTATTACAGTCCGAACAACTGCCAGAGACAATGAATTAGTATTAGAGTACTGGTATCACTGTAGAGTCAAACAAATCAACAAAAGAATGAGGATAATGGTTAAAATTGAGAAGTTGAACTTTGTCTCAAAATAGGGGTCAGCACACATCCTATAATTCTTTTGCTCATAGCACAGTGCAGAGTATTTTTTATGTACTAAACAAGCTGTTTGAGAGCAGAAAACATTTCTGATTCATCTGTTTCCATAGCAGTTACCAGAGAAAAATTTTAGTCAAAAATAATTTCTTCTACAAAGACAATAAAATATTATCTTAAAATATAATAATATAATGATAAACCCTGCCAGTGGTAATATTTATTTACTTATTTAGCTAGTTCATTAGTTTTTCAGAAGCTAAAATCTGTAAGGAATTTAGAAATTGTTTCCTGTATTAGTGGACAGGTTGGATTGAGAATATACACATTTTATTTATATATATAGTCTGTTTCAACTCAAAGAGTCTATGAAAAAGAAAACAAGCTCTAGAGAGAGACAAAATTAGGTGAAACTAGCTTATAATATGTGAACTACAGACAAGTTAACTGCTGGCTGTGGTGGTACACACTTTTAATTCCAGAACTTTGGAGGCAGAGCCAGGTGGATCTCTGTGAGTTCCAGGACATCCTGGCCTGCATAGTGAATTCCTGACCTGTATATTGAAACCCTGTCTCAGAAAAAAAAAAGTTTATAGTTAAAATTTCAATATCTACCTCATGGCCTTGTCTCATTGCTGTTCCCTGGTTGGTTATATTTTCAGCCTTCCTGGTCTTATCTGCTCTCTATATACTTCATGTTATCACCCTCCACTCCTCTGGAGTGCAAGTTCCTCCAGCGCTGAGATTGAGTCGAGTCTTCAGTTTGCCAAAGTATCCTTAGCAACTCAAATATTGTTGGGTTTAGAGATGTTTTCGAGCTTATCTAGGTACCACCTACTTTATGATCAATGATTTTGTGTACATTGTGTGACTCAAAGTTTTCTGGTGTTTTTAATTGCAGAAGGCCTTACGACCAGATATGGGCTATAATACCTTAGCCAACTTTCGAATAGAAAAGAAAATTGGCCGTGGACAATTTAGTGAAGTTTATAGAGCATCGTGTCTTTTGGATGGAGTACCAGTAGCTTTAAAAAAAGTTCAGGTAAGATGATTTTCTTTATAGAAACCAGTCTGAAATTATTGAATGTGAAACTGGATAGGGAAAACTGCCTCCGAATGGTTTGGGTCATGGAGCTCTGGGTTGAGATTGCCGAGAAAGAATGAACATTGTGTTGTAAAAGCTCATTTTCAGGGTAATGCGGGTTAGAAATTAACTTTTGCATGCCATCCTTTCACAAGACCCGTACTATTCTGTCCTGTTCTAATTTTGTTATATGTGCTGCCAAGGCACAGAAACTGAGTTTTAATACTACTTCCAGGTTTTAAAACGTTGGCACCTGTTCTCCCCCATAACCAGTGAGTGGTGTGATGGAACCAAAGTATCCAAAACTAGCTTTTTAAGAGGCAGAGTTGAGTTGTCACTGTCACTTCTAACTGGACATTTAGTAGAATGTCTCAGCAGAAGCTCTGCTTCTGTTCATATCAAAATAAGTATCAGTTCGTAAAACATCTGCCTGAAGCTACCAAATGGCAAGGTGCACTAGCCGTAGCAGGAAAGGAGAAGGAAGCTGAATTTTATTTATTTGGGGGAGAAATGAGATAGATGAAATTAGAGGGTTAACATCTGATTTTAAATCTGTTACTGTATTAGTATCTTATAGAGTCTGGACTCGACTCAAAGTGGATTCTGTTTTTCCATCTCCTCCAAGTCTAGCCCTAACCCTAACCCTAGTATTCTAGTCCTATAGAACCCAACCAGTCCCTGGCATGCTCACGTACCTGAGACCTGCCAAGTTTCATTTGTTCTAATGGGATCGTCAGCCCAGGAAACCCTTGTCTTTTTGCTTTAAAGTGTGAATGACATCATTAATTTACTGCCTTTATCAGTTAATGAATTTGTAGGTACTTCATTTTTGCTTTTAGCGCTGAGACTGTTCTCTGTAGAGACCTCTGAAACCTAAATTTCCTTCTTTTATTTTTCAATTCTTACAGTGATCAGTGTGCTTGTAACAGCCACCACACAGATGACAGTTTTTGTTTATATTTAAAAAATGATATATTAGGGCTCAGGATATAGCTTAGTGCTTGCCCTGTGTGCATGAGACACTAGATTTGATCTTCAGTACTGAAAAAAAAATCAAAGGTCTGTGATTTGATATAGAATATGTATTGGATATAAACAGTAATGTAGGTGTCCTTATCCCGTTTCCCAGCTTAAGACATAAACAATAAAATATTTTTGATTTGTGACTGTTACTCCTTACCTCAAGAGTATCCATGTTATAAATTCATAGTGGGTTTTTTTTTGTAAATTTTCCTGCATGAATCTCTAAAATACAGCATATTGTTCACTTTGGTTCTTTTGAACTTCATGAAAATGAAACACATAATAATTTGCTTTTTTCCTATAATGTCACATTTGACCGGTTGATCCATGTTGGTGCATGCTTGTCACTGCTCACCTCTCATGACTGCATCGCATGCGTTTGTTCTTGCTGCTTGCTACTTAGGTTGTTTACAGTTGCTTGCTATTATAAACAGTATTTCCCTGGTATTCTTGTATGTGTTTTCTGGTATACATATGCAAGCAATTCTTTTTCATTTGTGTCTGAATGTAGAAAAGATGAGATATAGGGCAGGCTCTTGTACCACAGTTTAATTATGGGTTGTTTCCCAAAGTTGCACTTGTTTACTTTCTCCTAAGCAGGAGGCTGAGGCAGGAGGATGGTGGTAAGTTTGAGGTCAGCCTGGGTTACATAGTGAGACCAGTACAGAATGCAGATAGTAGTGTTTTAAGACATACATCATTTTTGGAATGATTGTTTCCTTACAGAAGACTTCCTTACAAAAGACTTCCTATAACTTCTTATAACTCCAGTTCCAGGGCATCTGATGCCTTCTTCTGACTTCCGCGGGCATCAAGCACACGCATGGTGCAGACAAAGCATTCATACACTAAAAATGAAAATAAAAAAAACTTAACAAAAACGTCTTTTCAAAAATTTAGGTCCATCCCGTTATGGCTCATTTGCAAAAGTGAGATGCTGCCTTACTTGGTGAAGCAAGTTGGAACTTCTCTGTGCTACTTTTCCTTCCCTTTCTCTCTCACCTACACGCTTCCTTTCCTACTGATGATTCCGTTAATTCCACCAGTGTTCATTGATCATGTAGTGTTTATTGGCCAGTGTTGTAAGGCTTTGAAACTCCGAAATGTAGTGAGATTTAATGAGATTCTAGTGGTAGCTGATACTAGAACAAAGGTACTTCTAAGACTGTGACCTGTCCTGATTGGAGCAGCCTGAAAGAACACAGGGGAGGGAGAAGGAGGTTGGGAAAGCTTTTACAGAGCCACATGTGGCACAGGCGGCTCTCAAAACTGTGTGTTTTGTATTGGAATATTATTGAGGCACCTTTTGGATTTGGTACCTGCAACATTTAGCTTATTGACCAGAGCTGTGTAACTGGAATTGCTTTTTATTTTATCAGTCAAGAGGCATGAAAGAATATGAATTTGGGTTACTGTGTCTCAGGTTTTGATCATTGTTACCCAACTTTTTTTTTTTTTTTTTTTAAGACAGGGTCTCACACTGTAAACTTGGTTGGCTTGGAACTTGCTAGTAGCCTAGGCTGGCCTCGATCTCACAGAGATACTCCTGCCTCTGCTTCCTGAATACTGGAAGTACAACCGTGTGCCACCTGGCTCATCCACTTTGTTTTTGAGACAGAGTCTCTCACTGAACTTGAGGCTTGCCCCTTGGCTAGATTAGTTGACTCTGGAGCCCTAAAGATTCTCTATCTCTGTCTTCCTAGCTTGGAGATCACAACTGTGGTCATCATGCCCAGTGTTTTAACACAGGCTCTGGGCAACTGCTTTAACCCCTTAGCTCTGTCCCTAGCCCAACATTTGGTTTTTAAATGGAAAACTTCCATATATGTGACATTCTTTTAGGTACTAAGGTTGAATATCGCGCAGGCCTCCGCGCCTTGACTCCCCCAGCAGCGTTCACCCTTCCATCTCCCCCGCTGTTCTCTACTCCTAGCTTGGGCCCTGTGCCATTCCTAGCCTTGGGGCTCCAGACACCTGGGGAGCCAGTGCTGCTTCCTGATCCTTTTCACTCAGACCGGCTTTGTGCCTTCCAGGAGCACTGCCTCTGGACCTGGCCCCGCCTTCACCTCTCTCTGCTTCCCTGGACCTGCACCACCAGCTAACTCTCCTGGCCTGCTGTCCTATCCTCAGGCCTCTTGGGGTGGGTCTATCGCGGAGCCCTCAGCACCTTGACGCCCTCGGCCTCATTTGCCCTTCCATCTCCCGCACTATTCTCTGCTCCTGGTTTGGGCCCTGTGCCATTCCTGGTCTTGGGTCCCCAGACACCTGGGGAACCGGTGCTGCTTCCTGATCCTTTTCGCCCAGGCCAGCTTGGTGCCTTCCTTGGGCTCCAGGAGCACTGCTTCGGGACCTGGCCCCACCCTCATCTCTCCCTGCTTCCCTGGACCTGCACCACTGGCTAACTCTCCTGGCCTGCTCTCCTGCCCTCAGGCCTCTCTTGGGATAAGTCTATCATGGAGCCCTCAGCGACTTGACTCCCCCAAATGCATTCACCCTTCCATCTCCCCCGCTGTTCTCTACTCCTAGTTTGGGCCCTGCACCATTCCTAGTCTTGGGTCCCCAGACACCTGGAACCAATACTGCTTCCTGATCTTTTTCACCCAGGCCAACTTGGTGCCTTCCTTGGGCCCCAGGAGCACTGCTTCTGGACCTGGCCCCACCCTCACCTCCCTCTACTTCCCTGGTCCTGCAACACCTGCCAGCCTCTTTCTGGGGCTCCGAGGCTTACCTTTCC